TGTTTTGAGACTTTGGCATCTACCATAAACTTTGTCCTTTTTTTCCTTATGCAATCGTGTACATCCCTTGATATCCAGGGTTCTCTGCATGACTTAGTCCCTCTCTTCACCTTTACAGGAACATGTTGGCCCTGCCCTCTAACGCTTGTCCTTTTGAATGTCTCCTGCTGCTCCATTTGGGATTTTCCTGCAAGTAGCTGCCCTCAGTCCACTTTAGCCAGATCCTATCTTATAATATTAAAATTGGCCTTCCCCCATTTGAGAACCAGTCTGTTTTGTCCTTTATCCATTACCTTAAGTATGACTGAATTATCATCACTATCACCGACATATTTCCCCCACTGACACATTTACCACTTATTCAACTTAATTCCCTGAATTTATGTCTAGCTCCAATCTGTCTTGTAGGACTTTCTGTGTGCTGACTTAAATTCTCCTGGTTTTACCCTCTCTAAGCCTTTTCCACTTAGTCTATCCTGGGTAATATTGGAGAAGTTGAAATTCCCTTCTATAATATTTATTGTTTTTACACTTCTTTGAAATTTGCCCATGTATTGGTCTTTCTATCTCTCCCTATTTGGGAGCCTATAGTCCAAACCCCAGTAAAGTTATTTCCCCCTTTTGTTTTTCAGTTCTACCTATATGGTCTCATCTCAGGAACCTTCTAAAATAACACCCCTCTTTACTGTAGTAATTGACTCCTTAATCAATATTACAACAGCCCCCCCTTTGCCATCTCAGATAAAGGGTCTATATCTAGAATACTGAGCTGCCAGTCCTGTCCCTTCCTCAATGTCTCTAAAACAGCAATAGAACATAGAACATAGAACAATACAGCGCAGTACAGGCCCTTCGGCCCTCGATGTTGCGCCGACCTGTGAAACCAATCTGAAGCCCATCTAACCTAAACTATTCCATTATCATCCATATGTTTATCCAATGACCATTTAAATGCCCTTAAAGTGGGCGAGTCTACTATTTTTGCAGGCAGGGCATTCCACGCCCTTACTACTCTCTGAGTAAAGAACCTACCTCTGACATCTGTCTTATATCTATCACCCCTCAATTTAAAGCTATGTCCCCTCGTGCTAGCCATCACCATCCGAGGAAAAAGGCTCCCACTGTCCACCCTATCTAATCCTCTGATCATCTTGTATGTCTCTATCAAGTCACCTCTTAACCTTCTTCTCTCTAACGAAAACAGCCTCAAGACCCTCAGCCTTTCCTCATAAGACCTTCCCTCCATACCAGGCAACATCCTGGTAAATCTCCTCTGCACCCTTTCCAATGCTTCCACATCCTTCCTATAATGCAGTGACCAGAACTGTACGCAATACTCCAAGTGCGGCAGCACCAGAGTTTTGTACAGCTGCAACATGACCTCATGGCTCCGAAACTCAATCCCTCTACCAATAAAACCTAACATACTGTACGCCTTCTTAACAACGCTATCAACCTGGGTGGCAACTTTCAGTGATCTATGCACATGGACACCGAGATCTTTCTGCTCATCCACGCTACCAAGAATCTTACCATTAGCCCAGTACTCTGTATTCCTGTTATTCCTTCCAAAGTGAATCACCTCACACTTTTCCACATTAAACTCCATTTGCCACCTCTCAGCCCAGCTCTGCAGCTTATCTATGTCCCTCTGTAATCTGCAACATCCTTCTGCACTATCCACAACTCCACCTACTTTGGTGTCATCCGCAAATTTACTAACCCATCCTTCTACACCCTCATCCAGGTCATTTATAAAAATGACAAACAGCAGTGGCCCCAGAACAGATCCTTGAGGTACACCACTAGTAACTGAACTCCAGGATGAACATTTCCCATCAACCACCACCCTCTGTCTTCTTACAGCTAGCCAATTTCTGATCCAAACTGCTAAATCACCCTCAATCCCATGCCTCCGTATTTTCTGCAATAGCCTACCATGGGGAACCTTATCAAACGCTTTACTGAAATCCAAATACACCACATCAACCGCTTTACCCTCATCCACCTGTTTGGTCACCTTCTCGAAGAACTCAATAAGGTTTGTGAGGCACGACCTACCCTTCACAAAGTGATGTCACATCCTCATGTGTTAATCTACACCATCACCTCATCTGCCTTGCCTTGACTTGATTACATTTGCACTGCCTCTAGACTGACTTGCTTCTTTGAAACTTTTGTGTATCACCCCCAACCAAACCTTTACTCCATATCCCATCTCCCCTGTCAAATTAGTCTAAACCCAAACAAATCATATGAGCAAAGCCTCCTGCAAGGTATTGATCCCATTCCGGTTCAGGTGCAATCCTTCTGACTTGTACCATCCCACCTTCTCCAGAAATGAACCCAGTGATCCAGGATTCTAAAGCCTTCACTCCTGTTCCAATACTTCAACCACATACTTATCTGTTCTAACTGCCTATTTCTATACTCACTAGGATGTGGCATCGGGAGTAATCCAGAGATTATAACAGTTGAGGTCTTAATTTTTAATCTGGTGTCTAGCTCCTTAGTTTCTTGCTGCAGGATCTTATCTGTCATTATACATCTGTAGTTGGTCCCAAAGTGACAGTTCTGACTTTGACTGCTCACCATCCACTGTCAGAATACCCTGCAGCCATTCAGTGGTATCCTGACCCTGGCCCCAGGGAGACAGTAGACCATCCTGGAGTCACGCCTTTAGCTGCAGAAACGCCCTCTGTCCCCCTCACTATTCAATCTCCTAGTACTATTGTTCTCCTTCTTCTTCTGCTCCCATTTGTGCAACTGGGCTCTTACTGTACTCCCGAGACGAACAATCACTACCAGAATCTCCCATTAACATTATCTTGGGGATTACTATTGACCAGAAGCTGAACTGGGCTAGCCATATACCTACTGTGGCTCCAAAAGTGGGTCAAGACTAGGAATCCTGCAGTGAGTAATTTACCTCCTAACTTCCCAAAGCCTGTCCACCTTCTACAAGGCACAAGCCGGGAGCATGAGGGAATACTCTCTACTTGCCTGGCTGAATGCGGTTCTAGCAGCATTCAGAAGGTTTGACACCATCCAGGAAAAAGCAGCCCACTTGATTGGCAGCACATCTACAAATGTCCACTTCCTCTATTACTGATACTCAGTGGCAACAGTCTGTACCACCTACAAGATGCACTGCAGGAATTCACCAATGATACTTAGATTGCACCTTCCAAACCCAAGACCCCCTTCCATGTTGCAGGATAAGGGAGACAGATACATGGAAACACCACCACCTTCTGTAAGTTCCCTCCAAACCACTCACCATTCTGACTTGGAAATAAAGACTCGTTCATTCAGTGTCGGTGGACCTAAGTCCTGGAATTCCCTTCCTTATGCCCTTGTGAATCAACCTGCACATGGATTGCAGGGGTTCAGCAAGGCAGTTCACCACCACTTCCTCAAGGGGATCTAGGAATGAGCAATAAACGTTGGCCCAGTCAGCAATGTCTCCCATGAGTGAGTTAAAAGAACTGACTGATATGGACTATATAAGCCAACCATCTACAATATATTCTTAACATGAACCAGCCATGCATGTGCAGGCAATAATTTAGAGTTTGGCTGATTTGTTAAAATTTTCTGAATCATTCTGTCTGTTACCGCATTTCTTTTACATACCTCATTGCTAAAAGGGCTTTCTGCTGCCATAATCATAATTGTTATATTAACATTCTCACATGTCTCCCTAAATTCATCATTTACAAATTACCTCCATTATCAGTGAGAAATTTCATTGGCGGTCCAAGTCCAGTCCCTATTCACATTTCCATTACCTTATCCAGAATTATTTTCTTATTATTACTCATTATTATTATCCTTATTATTATAACTCTGTATTACTGTCAACTAACAAAATTGGCTGCCAACTCTACAACAGATAAAATGCAAGTTTTTTTTAATCCCATACCTCTAAATCAAAAGGCACTACCTCGTTGAACTCTTCTGCTAAAGACAGACTTATTATAAGCCGTGACAATGTCCTTTGTTGATTTAAGGGGCTTGTGATCATAGTTTCCTAACATAGGTAGCTGACAATTTGTACAATTTCCTGTTAGTTTATTGAGGAGCAGCACTTTAGATATGATACTTGAGTTAATTGGAAAAAGTATACAACCGTGGCAGTTGGGGATGGTGCACTGATATCAGAGGACAAACAGGATGTTGGCACAGAATACAATAGTTTCATTTATGTTGTGAGGTCAATATCCTGCTCTCTAGCCAAGGTTTAGGAAACTCTCTTCCCAGGGTCTTCCTCCTCCTCTCTGGTCTATCTTCCACCTGGAAAAGACGCCTCTCTCAGGACCACCCAAGGAGAACTGCCCGATGACGACTGCCCAACAAGAGCTCCCCTCTGCCCCGAGCACTTATTGTTATATCCCATTCCTAGGGGCAGTTGTTTTTGATGGGCTTTTTAACATTTTTGATTGTGTTGCTTTTGACAAATCTGTTGACAGTTACAATAACCTCAAGCTGTTAATAATTTGTATGATACTTTATGCATGTTCATGTCTACCTTTAACAAATCCGAAGAATACTTTTCCTCTTCCAGAGGGCAATGTACCTCTCACATAGGGCATATGACCTCTCCCACAGACATCATATCCAAAGTGCTATCTCACCTTTGAAACGGTATTCTGGCGATCCTGCCCCTAGCAGCTCTATACTGTGCTTTCACTCACATGGGTCACCAAAATCAGACGTGTATGGAGGGAGCTGCTGATTTATATGGGTTGCTACCTCGTCAAAACACACACGTGCAAAGTGTGATCCACCCCTCTTAAGGTGGGATTTCTGATTTTCAGCCTCTTCTGCCATTTCTTGCATGATGGTGAGGCTGTCCATCATTGCAAACACCCATGCCTATGTCTGGCAACGAGTAATCACTCAAATTGGACCCATGTAAAAGCCTGATTAGAATAGATGATATAATCATACATTTTGCAGAAAGAATGCAAATACTAATTACATCTATGTTTCAGAAGGTTGATTTCCCACCTTCTGGAACAGTACAGGGATTGGAACGACTGGCTGCTTACGAATTTCGGATGCGCTGTATATTTAGCAACAAAATTAGTCTTTGGAGTTCTTGGAGTAAAATATACCTTGTCCCTCCTGGTAAGTGCTCATGATATATTAACTAAAATAAAGCATACAACCCCAATGCAAGTCTATGGATGAGGTTCAATTGAAATTTTGGAAACTGCAATTGAGAGGAGTTTGTTAGGTAAGAGTGTAAGAGATATGGTGAAAATGCACGTGAATGGAGTGCGAAATATGGTGGTGTATTCACCATTAATTCTGGTAGCATAGACACTAATACTGCATTATTACTGAGTACAAGTATGACAAGATATATTCACAGAGCGACTAAATACATGACACATCTTTCACAAATTTTGCTATAGTCAAGCTCTTTGACTGACTGACTAATTTTCCTGATGAATTACAAAACGTAGCAGTAGCTATTTGAGACGGAGCTAATACCTTTATACAATAATTTTATATGGCATGGTGTTAAACTGTTGTCATCAAAATTTCTTTTCAAGGTACATTATTGCTTGATCATAAATACTTGCAAAATCACAAAGCAGAGCAACAATTAGCTAATGACAGAGCATGATCAAGTGACTAACTGATAGTTCCCATCATTTATTGTGCCTCCCCAGAACAAACAATCTTTGGATCCATTGATTTTAATGCAGCCTCCACAGCAAAACTTCCTGTTGAGAGGGATTAGTACAGGACAGGCCAGCAGAAGCACAAATGTTACAGTGCATTTGCCCTATCATGTCTGCTCTACCATATTAAATGAGCATCATTACCTAGTGCCAATCTCCTTCCTCCCCATTACCCTTGCACGTTATTTTTATCCAAACAATCATCCAATGCACCCTTAAATGCTTCTTTTGAACCTGACTCCACCACAAATTCTTAGAATCATACAGTTCAGAAGAGGCCCTTCAGCCCATCAAGCCTACACAAACCAAAAAAACTACTCCAAATCTACACTTATCCCACTGTCTAGCACTTGAATATTAAGACATTTCAAGTGCTCATCAGGTACTTTCTTTCGAAGGTCGTGAGGTTTCCCACCCAGTCTACCCCTCCCAGGCAGTGCATTCCATATTCCCACTACCCTCTAGGTGAAGATTTTCCCCAAATCTTCACTAAACCAACTACCTTTCACCTAAAAATTATTCCCCTTGTTATTGTCCCTTCATCTGAGGGAACCAGCTGTGTTCTATCCACCCTGTCCATGCCCCTCATCATCTAATATTACTGCAGAAATGGGCTACCATATTTCCAATATTGTGAAAACAGAACCTAGAAATGAATATAATCAAAAATAATTTTATAGTTTATGGAGATATCAATCAAGGGGTACAATAAATGCATCTTTGCATAAAAGAGAAGTTTATTTTAATTTAGATTCTCTTTGTTAGAAATCTGAGCAAAATTAACATTGGCAGCAATGCACTATAGAATCACCATTTGTGTCAAATGACATTTGGAGGATGCCCAAAAAAACATTTTGTTTACAAACAGAAGCTGGAGTGAAAACTTTCCTGAGGAATGCAAAAATCTCAAAATAAGTTAGCTGTGTAGAGAGAGCTTGAAAAGTAGTTATTGTTTCTGTTTTATCCCAGAACTTGTAGACATGCCACAGATTTATACACCTGTGACTGAACTAATGCAGAAACCTGGGAAACGCCTCATTACTATACAGTGGGAGGTACGTACATTAATGCTTCTGAACAGGCACAGACTCATCTGTTTTATAATATTATCATGTGCTTATTCGTTTTAGAATTACTACAATTGCCTATACCTCACTATTAGCTAGCTACAATCAGAGTATATATGGGGAATAAATATCAATGAACAGTGTATTCTAGAAAGCTTTCATTAACAGACACCAATAGAGAGTGTTTCAATCCCCATAGAGACCAATACGCTAGAAAAAGACCAGAGGGCCTTATCTCGGAGTAAGGAGTCAGAGATGAGGAGGAATTTCTTCACTCAGATGATAATGAGTCTGTGGAATTCTTTACCACAGAGGGCTGTCGAGGTTGGGCATTAAGTATATTCAAGTCTGAAACAGACAGGATTTTTAATCAGTAAGGGAATCAAAGGTTATAGCAAAGAGGAAAGTGGAATTGAGGATTACCAGATCAGCTATAATCTCATGGAATGCCATACATCCAACATTTGCTCCTGAAATGAGCTGTTGGTGTAAACGTTAGAGCAGGTATGTCTTTGATGGGCCCTGGGATGGGATTGCCACCTTCTCTGTACTGCAGCATTCATTAAATAATGCCATTACTGCCAAAATGGACAATCTCCCACTTTCCTATCTGCCAGTTTATTATTTTTGCCTCTGCACTTAACCCATCTCTATTCCTTTGTAGACACTTGGTATCCTCCCTACAACTTGCTGTCTTATCTATCCGTGTACCATCATCAGATGTGACTACTTTGGTTCCTTCATCCAAGTCATTAATATTGATTAAAATAGTTAAGGCCACGGTACTGATCCCTATGGAACTCCACAACCTGAAAATGATCCATCTGTTCTAACTCTCTGTTTCCTGTTGTTTAGCCAATCCTCTATCCATGTTAACATATCACTCCCAATACCATGAGCTCTTATCTTGTGCAGCAACCTTTTTAATTAGCACCTTATAAATTGCCTTTTGGAAATTCTAATTCACTGCATATTGCAGTTCCCCTTTATCCATCCTGCTTGTTATTTCATTATTGCATGTTAATTAACTATTAAATTAGTTAAAACTCAACTTCCCTTTCATAAATCATGCTAGCCTTGCCTGATTATAATATGATTTTCTAAACATCCTGTTACTATTTCCTTCAGTACGGATTCAAGCACTTCCCAATGACAGATGTTAGACCAAATGGCCTATATGATTTGCACTCTCCGCGTCCCCTGTTTTCTTGAATATATAGTTTTACAAAATGCTGGGTCCTTCTCAAAATCTACAGTATTGTGAACACTGTCCTAACAGTGTTGCATCAGCCATGATTGTATTAAAAAGCAGAGCAGGCTTGATGGGCTGAATGGCCTACTCCATTCCTATGCTCCAATGAATATCTTAAATGCTGATCTAAGTACTGAAATATACCACAGTTACATTTAGTAAAGATATATTCCATGCTCAATATTTCAATATGTACATCTCTACATTTGTGATGATTGAAGTTAATAACTTACACACGAATCAGAATTTTTTTTTAAATGGGGGTAAATTTTAAAGGAAAATAAATTCATCCTGTATTTTGTTGTTTCTGGATATTAGGCATTGAGCCTTGGATACAGACATTGCTTAAAGTCTGTAGACCGGTCTATATTGCCACAATAGGAGATCTCTATTACTGTCAGAGAGTCACACAGCATAGGAACAGGCGCTTTGGCCCACTATGTCCATGCCGACCAATAGACAGTGGACTACACTAACCCCATTCACCTGGATGTGATCCCTAACTTACAATGCCCTGGTATTTTGAAGTGCTCATCCAGATGCTTCTTAAATGTTGCGCAAGTATCTGCCTCCACCACCCTCTCAGGCAGCACATTCCATATTTCTCCCACCCTCTGGGTGAATAATCACTGCTCACATCTCCTGTAAACCACCTGCTCCTTACCTTAAACTTATGATGTCTGGTCTTTGACAGTCTGCTATGGGGAATAAATTCTCATAATCTCTTCTGTCTGTGTCTCTCGTAGTTTTATACACCTTAATCAGATGCCTCCTCAGCCTCCTCTGTTCCAAGGAAAATAAACCCAACCTATCCAGTCACTCCTCATAGCTGAGATTTTTCATCCCAGGCAACATCCTCGTGAATCTCTTCTGCACTCTCTCCGGTGCAATCACATCCTTCCGATAATGTGGCGAAAAGAACTACAAACAGTATTCTATCTGTGATTTATAAAGTTCTAACATGAGTTCTTTGCTCCACTCCTATACCTTATGCCTTGGCTAATGAAGGCAAGCATCCCATGTGCCTTCTTCATCATCCCATCCACCTGTGCCTTCAGGGATCTATAGACTTGTATGCCAATGTCCCTTTGTCCCCAGTAATACTCAAAGACCTACCATTTATCATGTATATCCTTCCCTTATAAGGCCTCCCAAAAATGCATCACCTCGCACTTATTGGGATTAAATTCCAACTGCCATTGCTCTGCCCAATTTACCAGCTGATCAATTCCAGATTGTAGCCTGAAACCATTCCCCTCACTATCAACAACACCAACAATTTTTGTGTCATCTGCAACTTACCAATTATAGTTTCTACATTCACACCCAAGTCATTGATGGGTACATAACAAACAGCAAAGGCCCCAGCACCGAACCTTGTGATACATTGATGGTCACAGGCTTCCAATTACAAAAAACATCCCTCCACCATCACCCTTTGTGACCTATTTGCAAGCAAATTTTGGATCCAGTGTACCAACTTGCCTTGGATTTTATGGGCTTTTGCCTTTTGGACCAGCCTTCTACGTGGTGTTTTGTCAAAGGCCTTACTGAAGTACGTACACCACATCAACTGTACTACCCTCATCAATATATTTAGTCCCCTTTTCAAAAACTTAATTAAATTAGCCAGACAGGATCTCCTGCTAACAAATCTGTGCTGATTATCTCTGATCACTCCCTGCCTTTCCATGTTTTGATTAATCCTGTCCTTCAGAATTTTTTCCAGTAATTTCCCTATCACTGACATCAGATTAACTGGTCTATAATTACCTGGCCCATCCCTGCTGCCCTTCTTGAACAAAAGAGCCCCATTAGCTTTGCTCCAGTCATTTGGCACTTCACCTGTGACCAGCGAAGTATTAAATATCTCCACCAAGGCCCCAGCAATCTCCTCCTTTACCTCCCACAGAAGCCTGGGATACATCTCTTTGGGCCTGGGCATTTATGCACCTACAGGCCTGTTAAACATCTAATACCTCCTCCTTATTGATCTTAACGTGTTCTAGAACCTCACCATCCCAACTGATATCCGCGCCTACAATGTCTTTCTTCTTCGTGAATACAGATGAGAAATATTCATTTAAGACCTCACTCACGTCCTCTGGCTCCATGTACAAGTTGCCTCTTTGATCCCTAATAGGTCCCACTATGTCCCTGGTAATTCTCTTCCTCTTAATATTCTTAAAAAAGCCTCGCTGTTTTCCTTGATCCCACCTGCCACATATTTTGTGGACCCTCATTGCCTGTCTAATTTCCTTTTTAAGCAACTCTTACACTTTATACTTTTGAAGGACCTCCCCTGTATTTAATGTGCTGTACCTGACATATGGTTCCTTCTTTTCCTTTATCAAACTCTCAATACCCCTTGACATCTGGGATTCCCTGGATCTGCTGCCCTTACCGTTCACTCTTAGAGGAACATGTTGGCCCTGAATTCTCACTATACTGCTTTTAAAAGACTCCCACTTGCCAAATGTAGACTGATCCGCAAGTAGCTGCTCTCAGTCTACATTTGTCAGAATCTGTCTAATGGTGTTGACATTGACCTTCCCCCTAGTTTAGACATTTCTGCACTATCTTTATATGTTGGGTAGATGTTTCCATTGTTAGGAGAGACTGGGATCCGAGGGCACAGACTTTGAGTAAAGGGAAGACCTTTTAGAACAGAGATAAAGAGAAACTTCTTTAGCCAGAGAGTGGTGAATCTATGGAATTCACTGCCACAGAAGGCTGTGGAGGCCAGGTCTTGAGTATATTTTAGACGGAGGTAGATTTGTTCTTGATTATCAAGGGGATCAAGGGTGACGGGGCGAAAGCAGGAGAATGGGGTTGAGAAACTTATCAGCTGCGATTGAATGGTGGTGCAGACTCGATGGGCTGAATGGCCTAACTTCTGCTCCTATGTCTTATGGTCTTATGATCTTTCCATAATGGCGTTGAAACTTACAGAGTATCCCCAAAATGCTCATCCACTGACACTTCAACCACTTGATGGACTTCATTTCCTAGGTCCACCACTGTACCATTTCTAGTAGGATTATTTAGGATATGGCACAAAAAGCTTTCATGGATACACTTTAAAAATTCTACCTCATGTAATCTTTTCAGACTAAGGCGATCCTAGTTAATGTTAGCAAAGTTGAGCTCCTCCACAACAATATGCTTGTTTCTCTCAGACCTTTCTGTAATTTGCCTGTATATGTGCTCCTCTATCTCTCACAGACTGTTGGGAGGTCTGTAGTATAATCACTGCAAAATAATCTACCCTTTTTTTATTTCTAAGCTCTACCCAGACGGCTTCATTTGAAGACCCTTCTAGGATGTCCTCCTGCATTTCTACAGCGATGGACTCCTTTATCAGTAATTAAACGTCCCCATGCCATATTCTCTTCTCCCTAGTCTGATGTAAGAAGTGAATTTGTTCAAGAAATTTCTGTCAACTCTTTTTTATCGAGTGTTTTCTTTCAGAATGCAGCCACAGTCAACAGTACAACTGTGCAAGGATATAATATTACGATTGAAAGAATACCCCCAAACCAATATCATGTGATCCAATCAATTGAAACACTCGACAAAGGATGTGTCTTCATCCTTTCACAAGCATCTTTCAAACTCCGAGTGTTTGCCTACAATTCAGCTGGGTCCTCACCTGCAAATGAAATCATTATCCCACCTTTTTATCAAATTCGTAAGTATCATCTAATAGGCACTTAATTCATCTAGTTGTGAAACGTTATTCAATGCATGATTTCTGTATCTAAAATGTAGTACTTCAACTTACTGCAGGTCTAAACAACAAGATTAATGCCACTCCCTATGGGAACGACAGCATTTTAATTAGCTGGGATTCGGATATGAATAGGCGGATAAAAGGTTACATTGTTGATTGGGGTCCTGTCATTGGGAATGAGATGCACGTTGAAAGGTCAAAATATATAAAAAAGATGCTTCACAGTTACATTCTGAAAGGTGAGCTTGCTCTTTCCAGTCTTACAAATTTTGTTACTAATGCAATGATCATTTTGAAAGCAAAAAGACTGAACTTGCATCCAAATATTTATACGGATTCAATTTTTTTTTGCTGTTGGTATGTCTGTACTCATCTAATCTGGAGTTAACGGTAGCAGGAAATTGAACTTCATATGCAACAGAATGAAACAAATTTCTTGTCAATTCCAGGAGATGTGAGACAGTTTGGTGCAATGCAGTGTTCAGGACATGTGGCTCAATCTCAAAGAATTGCTTCAACAGAATCTTTTATTGTTTTGTCACATTGGGTTCTACCAGTGCAATGAAGGCACATGAAGTAAGCAGGCAGAATGAATTAACAAAGCTTAACAGCTTGGACTAATGGCAACTGAATATAGATTAGAATTGATAAACTCAATTTATTTAGCAGCCTCACCACAGAAGCAAACAGCCAGCCTTGTGTTTGAAGTGAATCAAAATCCTTGAATATCCTTTCTTCCCAGAATGATCGATAATGCAAATAACTGAGTAATATATTCCAAAGAACTCAGAATCACAGAATGAGAATTACAGACAGAGGAGGCAATTCACCCCTTTGTGGCTATACTGGCTCTCCAAATGAGCATCTCAGTTTCTCATTGCTAGAACTATTCTTGTAAACATCTTCTGCACTCTCTCTCGTGTGCTCACATCCTTTTTGAAATGTGGTGCCAGAACTCTATACAAAATTTCAGCTAAGGTCTAACGAGTGCCTTCTACAAGTTCAGCATAACCTCCTTGCTTTTGTACTCTATGCCCCTATTAACTTGTTGTTTTGACCTGTCTTTCTGCTCTTGTGTCTCATTAAAGTTGCACCCTTCATCTTATCTTGTCCCTCCATGATCTTTCTACTAAAATGAGTCACTTTACATTTCTTAGAATTAAACCCGAACTGACACCAACTTGTCTATGTCCTTTTGAAGTTCTATGCTATCCATCTCGCATATCATAATGATTCTAAGATTTCTATCACCCACAAATTTTAAAAATATACATAGTCCACCAAGATCCAAGTAATTGATGTATATATTAGAGTGTACAAAGGTCAGAACGTTTTCTCCAGCCCAAACATTACTCTCAGCCAATTTCACACCATGTTGTCACTGCTCTTTTATTCCATGAACAGTACAACATTTCTGTCAGTGCAGCACTCCCTTGGTACTGAACTGATTCATCAATTTACATTTTACTACTTAAGCCCCTGGTGTGAGATTTGAATCCTCAACCTCACTACACAGAGATATGCTACAGAGCCGTGGCTGACATTTTGGAACAGTATAAATCATTGTGTCGTCATTTTCTAAAACTGGAGAGTCTAGGAGCATTATATTTTTCCGAACGTACAGAACGCATGAAATCAAACAAAATAAATTCCCAGGCTTCTTGAGAGCTGTTGGGTGCCAAGGTGGAGATGACTTTCCTTGAGCCTCTTTTTCTGCAATGGAATGGGAGAGGTCCCAAGAAAATTCACCACTATGGTGAAGAGTATTGAGACTGGGGGGAAATTTAAGAGTCTTATAATTATTAAAAGGGAGCTCAGTGGACAGTGGGGCAATCCCAGAACAAGAAACAGGAGCAAATGGCAATAATTTGCCAAAAGGTTGTCAAAGCAATCAACCACACCAATATTCTAATCTAAAACAATGGAACTGATCATTATGAATAAATTCAAAGTTGAAGATTCAAAGATTGCGCAATGGTAACATTGTAAATAGCAATCAACATAAATTTGGAAAGGTGAATCCTATTTGTCCATCCCCTTGTGTTTCTTTGAAGAAGTGGCAAGTCAAGTGAACTATGGAAATGTTACAATGTGGTGTTCATGAATTTCCAGCAAGTCACTGTACATGGAAGGCCAATAACAGCTCAAATAAGTGGAAACAGGTATAAAAACCGCATATGGGAAGGTTGATTTGAGTTGATTTTATTGTTGTCACATGTACCTAAGTACAGTGAAAAGCTTTGTTTGCGAGCAGTACAGGCAGATCATAGTAAGCAAGGACATACAGATCATTGGGTGCTTAGACAGACTGAGGTACATGAAGCAAGATCAACATTACTTGAGGCTAGAGAGTCCATTCATCAGTCTAATAACAGCAGGGAAGAAGCTGTTCTTGGACTTGTTGGTGGGTGTGTTCAAGCTTCTGTATCTTCTGCCTGTCGGAAGAGGTTGTAAGAGAGCATTACTGGGGTGGAAAGGGTCATTGATGTTGGCAACCTCTCCACGGCAACGAGAAGTGTAAGTGCTGTCTGCGGTTGGAAGGTTGGTTTCAATGATGATCTGGGCAGTGCACAGCCTTCTGTAGTTTCTTACGGTCCTGGGCAGAGCAGTTGCCATACCAGGCCGTTATGCACCCGGATAGTATGCTTTCTATGGTGTAGCTGTAAAAGTTGGTGAGGGTCCTTATGGACATGCCAAATTCCCTTAGCTGCCTGAAGAGGAGACATTGTTGTGCCTTCTTGGCCATTGCATCTACGTGGGAAGTCAGGACAAGTTGTCAGTTATCGTTACTCCTAGTAACTTAATGCTCTCAACCCTCTCAAACTCTGCTCTGTTGATGTAGATGGGGGCATGTCCTCCCCCTCTCTTTCTGAAGTCAATGATCAGTTCTTTTGTTTTGCTGATGTTGAGAGAGAGGTTGTCATCATTGTACCACAAAACCATGCCCTCTATCTCCTTTCTGTAAAACAAACAATATTCATAAGCCATTTTCCTATAGTTTTGTATAAAGATGCAAGGAATGCAGGAATCATAGCAGACTGAACATTAAATATTTCTGAACTCAGAGGAGCAGCAATTGATAAAGCTAATACAATGCTGCCTTGTACAACCAAAATATGGTAAATCAGGTTCAGACTGTAAAGGACAATTGATTATTATTGTCCCGCTCTGGTCATAAATACATGGAAGTGCTTGAGGTAGGGCTGAGAAGAGCCACGAGACTGCTCTTTAGGCCTCAATTACGGGTGGAGTAAGGGTGAAGTGAGGTCAGGTGGACGTGCAATTTTGCACTGCCAACCAGCATGGTTACCGGGAACAATGGTTACTGACCCACAAGTAGTAGGCACCTAGTTAAGCCAATTTTAAGGCTCATGAGGCTAATTAGCAAAATCTGACTGGAATTTCCCAGTTGGCCTGTGCGCCTCCCACAACGTTGGCAACAGATTAGCAGATTTTTCAGAGGCAGCTCAAAATGAAGATGCCCTCCCACTCCCATAGCTGCAAGGTTTAACTGAAGCCTCTTCACTGGAGAGCCTTGTAATGGCCCTGCTGTCCAATTTAAAGAGCCCAAAGCCATCCTTAATTGGTTCCAAGCACACACTCTGGTCATTAAATACCCAGTTCAGGCAAATCCCCTGTTAGTGACTGTTCCCCATACAGTGTAGGTTCCGGACCCTGATTAACCTTGATTTCAGGACCACAAACCCAAAGGCAATAACTTGCTCCTTTTGTTAAAGGTCAAAGTTGTAGAAGCATAGAATTTTGCAATACAGAAGGAGCTCTTTTGACACATCATGCACGCGAAGAAGGTTACCTCAGTACAATGGGACCTTGATCAGATGGGTCGATGAGCTGAGGAGTGGCAGATGGAAGTCAGGGCAGGACATGTGCACTTCATGGTAAAATCTTGGGGAGCATAGCCAACCAAAGGGATCTTGGAGTTCAGGTTCATAGTTCCTTGAAAGTGGAGTCCCAGTAGACAGGATAGTTAAAAAGGTGTTTGGTATGCTTGCCTTTATTGGTCAGTGCATTGAGTATACAAGTTGGGAGATCATGTTGCGACTGTACAGGATATTGGTTAGGCCACTTTTAGAATACTGCATGCAATTCTGGTCTCTCTGCTATAGGAAAGTTGTTATGCTTGAAAGGTTGCAGAAAAGATTTACAAGGATGTTGCCAGAGTTGGAGGGTTTGAGCTACAGGGAGAGGCTGAATAGGCTGGGGCTATTTTCTCTGCAGTGTCAGAGGCTAAGGGGTGACCTTATAGAAGTTTATAAAATCATGAGGGGCATGGATAGGGTGAATAATCAAGGTCTTTTCCCCAGAGTAGGGGAGTCCAAAACTAGAGGGCTTAGTTTTAAGGTGAGGGGGAAAGATTTAAAAGGGACCTAAGGGGCAACGTTTCCATGCGGATGGTGGTGCGTGTGTGGAATGTGCTGCCAAAGGAAGTGGTGGAGGCTGGTACCATTACAACATTTAAAAGGCATCTGGATGGGTATATGAATAGGAAGGGTTCAGAGGGATATGGGTCAAATGCTGGCAAATGGGACTAGATTAATTTAGAATATCTGGTTGGCATGGATGAGTTGGACTGAAGGGTCTGTTTCCATGCTGTACGTCTCTATTACTGTGTCTGTACTGGCTCCCGAAAGAGCTATCCAGCTACTCCCATTCTTCAGCCCTATCTCTGTGACCCTCTAAATCACTTTCAAATATATATTCCCCAGCTCTCTTTTGAAATCTTGTATGGAATCTGCCTCCACCACCCTCCCAAGCAGCACATTCCAAATCATAACAATTAGCAAATAAATATCTCCTCATTTCATTCCTAGCTCTCTTGCTGACAGTCTTGAAATTGTAATGCCTAGTTACTGAGATGATAACTAGTGGAAACGGAGTATCTTTCTTTATCTTGTCAAAATTGTTCATAATTTTGAACATCTCAGTAAGGCTACATCTTATTCTTCTCTGCTCCAAAGAGAATAAGCCCAATTTCTCTTTTCTTTCCTTGTATCTAAAATCCCTTTGTCCTGGTATCATTCTAGTAAATTTTCTTTGCACTCTCGCCAGGGCTTTAAAGTCCTTCCTTAAATAAAGTCCCAGACTGAACATAATACTCTAAAAGTGCTCTGACTAATGATTTGTAGAGGTATAGCATCACTTTTTACCATTGTACTCTATGCCTCTATTTATAAACGCAAAGATCCTATAACCCTTAACAACAGGCAGTGAATAGAGGGATACGGACTATGTGGAGGCAAGAGGTTTTTTGTTTAGAAAAGGCGTCATTTGCGAACTTTTGCATCCACCTGAGAAAGCAGATGGAGTTTCTCTTCATTGTCCCAGGTGGAAGACTACATCTCCAACAGCACTGCACTCCTTTAACTCTTCACTGGAGTATCAGCTTAAGGCCCTGGAATCAGACTTGAAGTCACAATCTTCCAAAGTTGAGGCAAGCAAGTGACAAAAGGCGCAGGCTTGGTGGGCCGAAGGGCCTGTTCCTGTGCTATTTTGGTTTCGTTCTTAACTTGTCTAGCCACAATCAGTGAATCATGCACATAAACTCTGAGGTCCATCTGCTCCTGTACTCCCCTCGAATTTGTACCATTTAGCCTATGTTGTCTGTCCGTGTCACTTCTACTGAAATAGTCACATTTCTAGTTATGAGGATAGATCACAACAACCTTCCTTGAAAGAAGCAAAAATGCAAAGATGAAAAATTATTTCAAACTAAATTATGAAAGTAGATGAGATGATAAAAACTGATACTAGAAAAGGGCAAATTTAAGCTAATAATGGAAAATTAGTTTCCACATAGAAAGTAAATGTTATAACAGGTGGAAAAATTATCGGGACTTTCTTTCCTTTCAACTGTGGAAGCAGTTCCACAATTCTTTTCTGCTGGAATGAACCTCTGAACATTCTGATGGCCAAAACGTTTTCGGTTCTTATTACTCAGGCTTCAACGTAAGCGCTCCTGGCTTGGAAGCTCCTTGAACAAACAACACTTTTGACACAAGCCTGTGTTTTCAAATAAACCTTTTGGACTATAACCTGGTGCCGTGTCATTTCTGACCTTGTCCACCCCAGTCCAACACCGGTACCTCCACATCATGGCTGCTTTTTATGAAAAACTTTTCTCCTTTCCGAACTGAAGTCCTGGTTACTACCTGCTGCTGGAGATCCTATTGCACCACAGTTCAGGCAGAAGATTCATCGTCAACCATGAGGGACAAAGAAAAAACTTGCATTTAGATAGGGACGCCCATGACCTCCAGAGGTTCCAATGCACTTTGCAGCCGATGAAGTACATTTCTGAGTTGGAGTCTTTGTCATAATGTAGACAATACAGCAACCAGTTTGCATAGACCAAAGTCCCGTAGCTACTACGATAAATGAATAGGTGCTCTGTTCTAGCACTGTTAGTTAGGGACAATCAGTCAAAACACCGCAAAGAACTCCTGTTCTCCTCTAAAATAATGCCAAGGGAACTTTTGCATCCACCTGAGAAAGCAGATGGAGTTTCTCTTCAATGTCCCAAGTGGAAGACTACATCTCCAACAGCACTGCACTCCTTTAACTCTTCACTGGAGTATCAGCTTAAGGCCCTGGAATCAGACTTGAAGTCACAATCTTCCAAAGTTGAGGCAAGCAAGTGACATTACTAAACCTTAGCAAATACCTAAGCCTTACCACTGAAACAAAAGATGTGATTTGTAGTTTGAACTTTCTTGGCAGTGTACTACTGTACAGATGCATTCCCTTAATGAGGCAAAGGTCACAAAAGTGTTTATTACACCTTCATTCTCGTCATGAATTCCCCTGTAAAGAAGGTATGAGCTATCTACTTGAACAGCTATTGTCACTTTGTGTATGTAAGCCTCCAGCATTGTCAGAGAGGGATTTCCCAGACTTTACCCAGCTCTAGGGAAGGAAAATATATTTCCAGGTCAGGATGGCATGTCGTTTGGAGGAGAATACGGCTGGTGTTGCCATATATTTAGAGCCCTTATATTTATAGCTGGTAGAGTTTACATGTTTGGAAAGTACTAGTGATGGAGTGAGTTGCTGTAGTTCTGCCTGTATAAGTTAGTGGAGTGGTTATCCATGACACAGGCACTGCTAAGGCACATGACATCAGCTGGGCTGCAGGAAGCACTTCTGACATCTCCAAGCTAGGGACAAAGTGGGCTGGGAATCAGAGGGAGGTGGAGGTGGTGGCGGAGGCTGGGCACATGGACTTCATAAACATGTTGGATGAGCAACAAACCCCAAAGGGAAACTTGCAGTCATGCCAATAGGAGATGTTCCCAGAGTTAATGGTTAATGGTCACCATCTTTATTGAGAAAGCTGCACCGAGTCCTCTCCAGTTCCCATGCTTCAAGCAGAGGGGCCCTTCCCAAAGCCATGAAGCATTCTGTTACTTCTGGTAATGCCATCTTTGAGACTGGCTGCTGCTTTCCCAATGATTCATCTGCAGGAATATATATTCTTGTTGACAACATTCGCACGCTGGTACACACAGCTGCAGCTATGCATTAGTGATGGAATAATTGCATGTTAAATGTGGCAGATGTGCTAATCAACTTGACTGCTCTCTCCTGGATTGTGTTGAGACTCTTGAGAGGTATAGAAGGCACACTCCTCGAGGCAAGTGGAGAGTATTGCAATAGACTTCTGACTTATGCTTTGTGGACAGGTTTTGGAGAGACAAGAGGTAAATGTCTTGTCACAAAACCTCTGACTTGTTCTTGTAGCCACAATATTTACATAATTGATCCAGCTGAGTTTCAGTCAATGGCAACTATCAGAACTTAACAGTAGGGGATTTGATTATGGTAATGCCATTGAGCTACAAGGGAAAATGGTTAGATTATTTTTTTTTAATTCATTTGTGGGAAGTAGGCATTGCTGGCTGGCCAGCATTTATGGTGAGTCCCTAGTTGCCCTTGAGAAGGTAGTGGTGAGCTGCCTTCTTGAGCTGCTGCAGTCCACCTGCAGTTGACCAACAATGCCGTCAGGGAGGGAATTCCAGGATTTTGATCCAGCAACATTGAAGGAACGGAGATATATTTCCAAGTCAGGACGGTAAGTGGCTTGAAGGTGAACTTGAAGGTGGTGGAGTTCTCATGTATCTGCTTCCCTTGTCCTTCTAGATGGAAGTGGTTGTTGGTTTGGAAGGTGCTATCAAAAGGTCTTTGGTGAATTTCTGCAGTGCGTCTTGTAGATAGTGCACACTGCTGCTACTGAGAGTTGGTGGTGGCGGGAGTGGATGCTTGTGGATGTATTTACAGTCAAGTGGGCTGCTTTGGCCTGGATGGTGTCGAGCTTCTTGAGTGTTGTTGGAGCTGTACTCATCCAGGCAAGTAGAAAGTGTTCCATCACACTCCTGACTTGCGCCTCGTAGATGATGGACAGGTTTTGGGGAGTCAGGCGAGTTACTCATCGCAGTATTCGTAGCCTCTGACCTACGTTTGTAGCCACTGTGTTTATTTGGCAAATCCAGTTGCATTTCTGGTCAATGGTAACCCGCAGAATGTTGATAGTGGGTTTTCACTGATGGCAATACCATTGAATGTCAAGGGGCAGTGTTTAGATTGTCTCTTATTGGTGATGGTCATAGCCTGGCATTTGTGTGGTGCAAATGTTACTTGCCACTTGTCAGCCCAAGCTTGGATATTGTCCAGATCTTGTTGCATGTGAGCATTGACTGCTTCAGTATGAAGACTCACAAAAGGTGCTGAACGTTATGCAATCATCAGCAACCATCGCCACTTCTGACCTTATGATGGAGGGAAAATCATTAATGAAGCAGCTAGGTTCGGCCTAGGACGCCTACCCTCGGGGATTCGTGCAGAGATGTCCTGAAGCTGAGATGATGGATCTCCGACAACCACAACCATCTTCCTGTGTGCCAGGCAAGACTCACCACTGGAGAGTTTGCCCACTGTTACCCTGATTCCAATTTTGATAGGACTCCTTGATGCCACACTCAGTTGAATGCAGCCTTGATGTCAAGGGCTATAAGTCTCACCTCACCTCTGGAATTCAGCTCTTTTATCCATGTTTGAACCAAGGCTGTAATGAGATCAGGAGCTGAGTGGCCCTGGTGGAACCCAAACTGGGCGTCACTGAGCAGGTTATTGCTGAGCAGGTGCTGCTTGATAGCTCTGTTGATGACCCCTTCCATCACTTTACTGATGATCGAGAGTAGACTGATGGGGCGGTAATTGGCCGGGCTTGATTTGTCCTTTTTTATGTACGGGACATACCTGGATTCATAGAATCATAGAACCCCTAATATGTGGAAACAGGCCATTTGACCCATCGAAGGGCATCCCTATCAGAAACTCCATCCCACCCTACCCTATCCCTGTAACTTTGCATTTCCCATGTCTAATCCTCCTACCCTGCATATCCCTGGACACTATGGCCAATTTAGCGTGGCCAATCCGCCTAACCTGCACATCTTTGGCTTGTAGGAGGAAACCGGAAATGCATAGGAAACCCACACAGGGACAGGGAGAATGTGCAAACTCCACACAGACAGTCCACCAAAGGCTGGAATCGAACCTGGGCTACTGGCGCTGTGAGGCAGCAGTGCTAACCACCTTGCCACCCTACATTGTTTGGTATAGAAACAAGAAATAAGAATATAGGACCAGGAGGAGGCCATGTGACCCCTAGAGCCTGCGCTGCCATTCAGTATGATCATCGCTGATCATCAAGTTCAAAACATTAATCCTGTCCTCCCTCTAAATACCTTGATCACTTTAGCCAGTGACGCTCACACCCCACAAATGCATAGAAAAAAACCCACTAAAGTGATATCTACTGCTTTCTTCAATACAATGTCCTGGACCTCAACCATTTTCTGTGGTAGTGAATTCCACTGGCTCACCGCTCTCTGGGTGAAGAAATTTCTCCTCACCTCAGTCATAAATGGTTTACCTCTTATCCTTAAACTATGATCCCTGGTTCTGGACTCCCCGACCAGGAGACCAAAACTGTACATACTATTCCAGGTGTGGTTTCACCAGTGCTCTTTAGAACTGCAGCAGGACATCCTTGTTCCTCTTCTGGAAGAACCACCAACTCTGGAGCACAGATCTTCAGTCTGTTGTCAGGGCCCGTAGCCTTTGCAGTATCCAGTGCGTCCAAATGCTTCTTTATATCATGTGGAATGAATTGAGTTGGCTGAAAACTGGCACCTTTGTTGCTGGAGACTTCCAGAGGAGGGCAAGTTGGATCATATACTCAACACTTCTGGTGAAAGTAGTTGCAAGAGCTTAAGTCTTATCTTTTACACTGATGTGCTGGGCTCCCTCATCATTGACGACGAGGACATTTGTGAAGTCACCTCCTCTTTCAGTGAATTGTTCAATTGTCTACCACCATGCACTTATGAATGTAGGAGGACTACAACATATGAACAGACTAACAACTTATATTTCCATAGCACCTTTAACACAGTAAAACATCCAAAGCAACTGCATAGTTTTTCTTTTTTTTGGCAAGTTAGTCTACAGCATCGGTGCGGCAGCGAGAGCAGCTGGTGTGTGGAGTGGCAGCAGCCTCCCGGCAACCAGAGGAGGTAACGGTGGACATGGTTCCTCCTGGCAATTGGAGGCAGCGGCAGTAAAGGCATCCTTCCAGCATTCGGGGCGGTGGTAAAGCTCCGATGGTGGCGCTGGCAAGGTGACATCTGTGGGCAGAGTGGGACTGTTGGTGTGGTGGCGGCCTGGCCTGGCAGTGGAGCCATGGATTCCTGGTTGTGATCGCTGTAGGCCCAGACTGGGGACTCCTGGTTATCAGTGAGACAGTGGCAGCAGCAGAGCCAGGGACTCTTGGTTGCAGGGCGAGTGTGGGTTCAACATTGGACCCAGCATCTGTGTTGGCAAGGTGGGCCCAGTGGTGAAGAGATGGTGCTTTCAGATTGATGACTGCTACATTGGTGCTCTGGCACAGACAGCGGTGAGGCAGTGGAGGACTCTCTTTCAGTTCTTTCTTTCTACCCTTTTTATTCTTAAACCATTCAAAATGGCGTCGGATTGTGGTTTTTCACTGTAAAATTCAAGTGACAATAAACCATTCATCATTTACAGTTATATTACCAAAGCAAATTTGACAACAAACCACATATTAGGACAAAGGACATAAAGCTTCATCAAGATGCAGGTTTGAAGGAGCATTTCAGTAAAGGAAAGGTAGGAACAGGAACGAATTCCAGAGACTGGGCATCGACAGCTGAAGACACGGCCACCAATGATTATATTTGGGGATGAGCAAACGGCATGAATTAGAGAGTAACAAAGATTTGGAAGGCTGTGGGGATTAAAGAGATCACACAGATAGAAAGAGTTGGGACGACAGAGGGATTTGAAAGGATGAAGGTTTTTAATATCAAGGAGCTGCTTAAGCAGAAGTCATTGTGATCCTGCGGGCACAGAGGAAATGGGTAATCGGCACCTGGTGCAAGTTAGGACACTGGCTGCAGAGCTTCAGATGAGATCGAAAGTCTGGGGAGAGAACATGGAAGGTTGGCCACGAGAGCAATAAAGTAATGAAGCCTGCAGCAGGAAGGATGTTTCAGAGATAGTAGGAACTGCAGATGCTGGAGAATCTGAGATAACAGGGTGTAGAGCTGGATGAACACAGCAGGCCAAGCAGCATCGGAGGAGCAGGAAGGCTGACGTTTCGGGCCTAGACCCTTCTTCAGAAATGGGGGAGGGGAAGGGGGTTCTGAAATAAATAGGGAGAGAGGGGGAGGTGGATAGAAGATGGATAAAGGAGAAGATAGGTGGAGAGGAGACAGACAGGTCAAAGAGGCGGGGATGGAGCCAGTAAAGGTGAGTGTAGGTGGGGAGTTAGGGAGGAGATAGGTCAGTCCAGGGAGGACGGACAGGTCAAGGGGGCGGGATGAGGTTAGTAGGTAGGAGATGGGGGTGGAGCTTGAGGTGGGAGGAGGGGATAGGTGGGAGGAAGGACAGGTTAGGGAGGCAGGAATGAGCTGGGCTGGTTTTGGGATGCGGTAGGTGGAGGGGAGATTTTGAAGCTGGTGAAGTCCACATTGATACCATTGGGCTGCAGGGTTCCCAAGCGGAATATGAGTTGCTGTTCATGCAACCTTCGGGTAGCATCGTTGTGGCACTGCAGGAGGCCCAGGATGGACATGTCATCCGTGGAATGGGAGGGGGAGTTGAAATGGTTCGCGACTGGGAGGTGCAGTTGTTTAGTGCGAACTGAGCGTAGGTGTTCTGCAAAGCGGTCCCCAAGCCTCCGCTTGGTTTCCCCAATGTAGAGGAGGCCACAACGGGAACAGCGGATGCAATATACCACATTAGCAGATGTGCAGGTGAACATCTGCTTGATGTGGAAAGTCTTCTTGGGGCCTGGGATGGGGGTGAGGGCTGAGGTATAGGGGCAGGTGTAGCACTTCCTGCGGTTGCAGGGAAAAGTGCCGGGTGAGGTGGGGCGGGAGGGGAGTGTGGAGCGGACAAGGGAGTCACGGAGAGAGTGGTCCCTCTGGAAAGCAGATAAGGGTGGGGAGGGAAAAATGTCTTTGGTGGTGGGGTCGGATTGCAGATGGCAGAAGTGTCGGAGGATGATGTGTTGGATCTGGAGGTTGGTGGGGTGGTACGTGAGGACGAGGGGGATTCTGTTTTGGTTGTTATTGCGGGGAGGGGGTGTGAGGGATAAGTTGTGGGAAATGCGGGAGACGCGGTCAAGGGCGTTCTAGACCACTGAGGCGGGGAAGTTGCGGTCCTTGAAAAACGAGGACATCTGAGATGTACGGGAGTGGAATGCCTCATCCTGGGAGCAGATGCGGCGGAGGCAAAGGAATTGGGAATAGGGGATGGCATTTTTGCAGGAAGTTGGGTGGGAGGAGGTGTATTCTAGGTAGTTGTGGGAGTCGATGGGCTTGAAATGGATATCGGTTTCTAGGTGGTTGCTGGAGATGGAGACAGAGAGGTCCAGGAAGGAGAGAGAGGTATTAGAGATGGTCCAGGTGAACTTAAGGTTGGGGTGGAAGGCATTGGTGAAGTGGATGAACTGTTCGAGCTCCTCGTGGGAGCACGAGGCGGCGCCGATACAGTCATCAATGTAACGGAGGAAGAGGTGGGGTTTAGGGCCAGTGTAGGTATGGAAGAGGGATTGTTCCATGTAACCTACAAAGAGGCAGGCATAGCTTGGGCCCATGCGGGTACCCATGGCCACCCCCTTTGTCTGTAGGAAGTGGGAGGAATTGAAAGGGAAGTTGTTGAGGGTGAGGACGAGTTCGGCTAAGCGGATGAGGGTGTCAGTGGACGGGGACTGGTCGGGCCTGCAGGACACGAAGAAGTGGAGGGCCTTTAGGCCATCTGTATGGGGAATGCAGGTGTATAGGGACTGGATGTCCATGGTAAAGATGAGGTGTTGGGGACCGGGGAATTGGAAGTTCTGGAGGAGGTGGAGGGCATGGGTGGTGTCATGGACGTAGGTAGGGAGTTCCTGGACTAAGGGGGAGAAAATGGATTCGAGATAGGTGGAGATAAGTTCGGTGGGGCAGGAGCAGGCGGAGACAATGGGTCGACCAGGGCAGTCAGGTTTGTGGATTTTGGGAAGGAGATAGAAGCAGGCAGTGCGGGTTGGGGAATGATGAGGTTGGAGGCTGTGGGTGGGAGGTCACCTGAGGTGATGAGGTTGTGGATGGTTTGGAAGATGATGGTTTGGTGCTCGGGGGTGGGGTCATGATCAAGGGGGCGGTAGGAGGAGGTGTCAGAGAGTTGGCGTCTGGCCTCAGCGATGTAGAGGTCAGTGCGCTATACTACAACTGTGCCTCCCTTGTCCGCGGGTTTTATGGTGAGGTTAGGATTGGAGCAGAGGTCTGCACGTTTTGCGGGGGAGAGGTTGGAGTGGGTGAGAGGGGTGGAGAGGTTGAGGCGATTGATGTCTCAACGGCAGTTGGAGATGAAGAGGTCGAGGGAGGGTAGGAGGCTTTGGGGTGGTGTCCAGGAGGAGGGGGTGTGTTGGAGGCGGGAGAAGGGGTCAGTAGAGGGAGGGTTAGGGTCACGGTTGAAGAAGTAAGCGTGGAGGCGGAGGCGGCGGAAAAACTGTTCAAAGTCCAAACGTGACCAGTATTCGTTGATGTGTGGGTGGAGGGGGATAAAGGTGACCCCTTTGTGGCAGGATCAGAGTCAAATGATACGATAATGTAGTTGGTGCCAGGCATACCATATGGAAATGACTTATCCCTATTCTTCTGGAATAGCAGTTTAACTGTTCCTCCTGTGAACTCCAGCTGTTCCAAGCTGACATTTAACACCTGAACATTATTAGCATTTAAGTTCCCTACCATGATTCTTGGCTTCCATTTCACAGCATCAGAGAAATATCAGCATTATTTATAAGTTTTCCACCAAGTTGTCTGCGAATTTCAGCCAGACAAGAAACCAAGAGCAGCCAGCAACTCCTGCTGGGCAATATGATTGAAGGATTACTGAATTCCACACAGGTAACCACTATCTCGCACCGAGGGCTAACAAATCCTAAATCCTGACCTGCTGAAAGTCATTCTGTTGCACCAAAGCCTTATCCGTCAGATTAATCAGGACAAGAAAATGTTTTATCTTCTGGTGATTTTAATTAAAAGGAGTTTAGAACATTGTCTCTGGAACATTCAAATATAACAGGATAGAAAACAGGTCATACACCTCATCCAAAGGAAAACCAAGCATTGTGCACAAGGCTGGCTGAAATGACATTTGTGACACCAGGTCAAAGTTGAAATTCTGCCCTGTGTCTACTATAATCGTGTTCCCCATGCTGAGGGATTGAAGAAAAAACACAAGGGTTGAGAATGCAAAACAAAAACCGAATGACGAGTGTTGTGATTGTAATGAGATCAGTCAGATGAACCTCATAAAATGTGAGTTCCCTGATTGGGGATGTTAACTGGTCCAATCAGGGAGCCCTGGCTGACACATTAAAAACAGGAATGTCAGACATCCTGACACCCTGAGAGCTGGCTCTGGGGTAGCTGGATCAGTGTCAAGAAGTCTCCGTGTGTAAATAAAGTGTGACTTGGTGATAGGACACTGGCCTTTGTGGAGTTTTTTTTCAAAGGGAAAAGGTAGAGTGATGTGAAAGGATCATGCTTGGTTTAAGTCAAAACTTTAACTTGTCTTATTCCTTCAGATGCAAGCTAACATAATGTGTTTTTAATATAGCAGGTGCTATTTTTGTGGTTAAATTAAGAATTGCAGTAGGTAACACAGTGTGGAGCTGGAGGAACACAACAGGCCAGGCAGCATCAGAGGAGCAGGAAAGTTGATGTTTCAAGTCAGGACCCTTCTTCAGAAATGGGCATTTCTTTCCTGCTCCTCAGATGCTGCCTGGCCTGCTGTGTTCCACCAGCTCCACACTGTGTTATCTCTGACTCCAGCATCTGCAGTTCTTACTATCTCCTAAGAATTGCAACAACTTATATCTGGAGTTCTCACTGCTGATGATCTTTAAGAACACCCTAACATTTCTCATCCTCTGCCCACTCCAGAGGAAGTGCCTGCATTTAGCACTTTTTATCGATAGTCAGAGTAAGACTGGCAGTCCATTATGTGGAAAATTAAAACGGGATCTCTATTCTACAATTTTGTGTGCACAAAACTCTTGCATTTAATCTGTTATTTGATTTTTATGGAATTTCTGACTCTTCATGATGTGAAACTGTTTTCAATTATGCAGATTCCTTTGAGCCAAAGCAACGCTACAGAATAATGTTACACAGTAAAACAAGAAAAAAGATATACGTGAACAATACAGAGATAACCATTGGGATGATTGATGTTTACACATTAGAAGGAAGTATGTTGAATCAAATTTATGATATTTCATATTTCTATTATAACATATCAGTCATGTATTTAAAAGAAACAAGAATTCTAAATAGATGTACATTTGATTTTTTTTTTGATTCAAGCACCAAGAATTGGTCCCAATAATGTTGTGGTCACCAATATTTCCAAAACCTCTGCAATAATAAGATGGGATCGAATACCTGAAGACGAATGTCAAGGTTTTCTTCAAGGCTACAAGATTTTCTATTATGTCAACAAGGCTACTATCACAAAAACTAATGCATGTAAGATTAAAGTATGTTTCAATTGAAACTTCTTACGTATTCTTACCTTTAAAATACTGAATTCTTAGTATTCATGTATATTAAGTATTTAATCTACACAATAAAGCCAAAACTGTCAGAGAATAGATTATGGTGTGGGAAGATCATCAAATAACATTTAACAGTGAAGGCAATTGGTAAACAAGAATTTAACCTGAAATTTTCTCTGATTCTTTGGCACAAATTCATGTAATCTGGGCAATGGAAAGTAGAGGAATTTGGGATAGGAACTGCCTCCCTGGGGAACAGCCCATTTCTGATCTTGATGCTGATTTCAGAATGAGCTCGAAGCTTTTTCTAACCTCTCCCACCATCTTGAAGTCACTGTAAGAGGCAGGACTGAAGGAGCGGATTTCCACTAGTTTCACCTACACTATTGTAACTTTGGATGATTCCAGGTGGACCAGAATGTCATTTTATAATGGTCATTGATTGAAGAACCATTCATCACAGTTAAAGATTTGGCAACTAAAGTGAATTTCAATTCTGCTGTAAAAATTCCACCAGTTTAGCTGGAGTGACTTTGCATACCACCCCTCAGTAACTCTGATATTCAAAATCCTGTGGAGCAGATGGTCTGGCAGTGGTTATCTATGGGCTATAAGATCATAATATGTCCTGAGGACTTGGGATGGTGTAAGCAACAAGCAAAAGCTGATGGGTTAAAGACTCAATCAGCCTCACTACCGGTAGTACAGTGACTCAGACCTTTCTAAGCTGTTGTCTTGCTAATCCTTTGTCATTTTGTACTTTGTAGCCATTTCAGTGAACTCTTCTACAACGTTTTACATGCTCTCAGGACTTACGCGAAAGACAATCTATGCTGTAAAAATCTCAGGATTTACGAATGCAGGAGAAGGAATCAGAAGCGAAGCAGTGTCTTTTGTCACAAAAGAATATGGTAATGTTTATAAAAACACATTGTTAAGTTTATGAATACAGCACTTTAAGGTATCAATTACAGCAAATTTATTTTCCCAATTATCCCATCAAAATATAACGTGCAGTTTGAACGCACAGAAGACTGCGATGCATTGATTTTTTATTCCACTGGCATCGCATTATTTAAACACAGAAATGAAAATTAAAGTTAAATAAAGGGTATTTTCAGTGAACAAAGCCTGTGGTTTACATTGAGTTGAAGAATTCTTCGTAAACCCTCCTTCCTCCAAAGACACTCTTTTTTTCCCAAGAGGGTGTCCATTCCACTTGTCTTGCCTTCCCTCACCATGACTTGAGCTCCCCTGCTCAGTGCCCTTCTTCACCGTCTCTATCTGCTGGTGGAGGTAACATTACATTTCCCTTTTAAATAATCCTTGATTCCCTTGTCAATCAAAAATCTAAACATAAAGATCCAGCTTCCACCTTCTGGAGAAGAGAATTCCAAAGTCTAACGATCCTCTGCGAGAAAAATAATTCTCCTTATCTCTGCCTTAAAAGGGAGACATTTTATTTTTAAGCCATGTCCCGTCTCTATTCTCCCTCATAAGAAGAACCATCCTCCCAGTGTCCACAGTCTCCAATCTCGTCTAGATCTTACATGTTTCAATAAGATCACCTCTCATTCTTCTAAACTGGAATGGATATAGGCCTAACTTGTTCAAACTCTCTTTGAAAGGCATGCCCTTCATCCCAGTAAAGTGCTGCGTTCATAAGAGAAAGGTGGGGTGTTGGGAGATAATTTGGGTGATTCAGAAGTAATTCTACACAAAGTGGGGGGTTTCAAGGGATTCAAAAAGCTCTCAAAAGGGTGGCACTTAATAAACAACTGATATTAATGCTACATACTATGAATATTAATGAATACAGTAAGCTGCTGGTGCTTCTACAAACTATTTCACTAAATGTTTTAGCACTTTCCATTCACTATTTCAGTTATTTTTAATATAAGGAATGGGGAGATGCTGGTTCTGTGGTAATGTCACTAGGCTAGTAATCCAGAGGCACAGGTTAATGATCTGGGCGCATGGTTTTAAACCCACCATGGCAGCTGGTGGAATATAAATTAAGTGAATGAAATATGGAATTTAAAGCTAGTCCCAGAGATGGTGACCATGAAACTATCATTGGTTGTTTAAAAACCCCATCTGATGCACTGATGTCCTATCAGGAAGAAATTCTGTCATCTTTACCTTGTCTGGTCTGCATGTGACACCAGATCTACAATAATGTGACTGATACTTAACTGCTGTCTGGAATGATCTGGCACGCCATTCAGTTCAATTAGGGTCAGGCAATAAATGTTGTAGGTGGGCCTTGTCAATCACACTCACATCCCATTACAATATTAAAGGAGCTCCTATGCGTGAACTCCATCTAACCTGCACGCTTCACAGCTCAATCAAAATTTAGGCAGATTCAAACAACCTAAATGTTCTGTAAATATCTGGAAGCCATTTTTCGTAGAACCCTCCCTAATTGTTTTGTTTCTTTTAACTCCAGATGATGGTGAAATGAAAATAATTGCTGTTGGTGTCAGCATTGCAATCATTGTTTTTGTGTTTCTGGTGATGTGGAGATGTTTGTTTCTCCTTAGAAGGTGAGAAATTTTATGAAAAATAGACTTCTAAAGATCCTTCATTCTCATCAGGATATTACGCATTGTTTTGCGCTATTCTGATTTCAATGAATTGAAATCATCTTACAAACTTGGCAGATTACTGGGGATAAAAAGATCAAAATGATCTTTACAGTAAACTCACTCAGTGAAAGAATATGCATTTGTGTAGCTCTTTTCAGACCCCCATGTCAGTCAGCGATACTACAGTCCGTCTCAAAGTATCACTTTTGCAGTTGCTAATGTTGATAATTGGATAAAACCACAGCTGGTTGGCATGTAGCAAATTACAGTTGGCCCTTTCAATCTGGTTAAATTGTGTTGAATGAATGCTACTATGGATACATCCTCTCCCTGAACCTCCTGTGGTGTAGTGCTAGTGTCTATCCCTAAGCCAGAAGATACAGGTTCAAGTCCCAGCTGCCCACATCTGTCATAATGTGCCTGAACAGATTGGTTAAAAACATTTATATATCCTCCCTTCACTTTGAAACAAATGATAAAAGCTTTCTGGATCCATCAGACCAGGCAACCAGAGTTTTGCATCACATCCCATCTGAAAGTTGGCTGCCCCCAGTCACACAGCACACACTGGATTCTACTATAACATGTCAGCCTCAATGATGTGGTGAAGTCCAAAATAGATCTGAGCACAACATTCTGAATCAATGGGCAACGACCTGCCACTGGGTCAGTCTGATGCTGACAGTATAATCATTAATGTTCCCTGCAAGAGCTGTGGAACAGAGGGGAGAAAAATCTTTTGAAATTGTTTGCAGTTGCACATTGTAGTTTAGTGATTCATTCATTCATTCATTCATTCACGAGTGCTGCACCTGAAAGCAGGTCATTGGCTTATTGGCAGCTGATCCTTCACCTGAGCTGTTTTGTTGGCAGGTCTTGTCAATGGTAGTTTTCATTGTTTTCTACTTTTAGGGGCAGGGTGAAAAGGCAGATCCTCAGTCTGCCTCAGCCAGAGGAGGACAGAGATGAAGAGAAATTTCTTCTCCCAGACGGTTGTGAATCTGTAGAATTCTTTACCGCATAGGGCTGTTGTGTTGGTTCATTATATATACTCAAGGCAAAGATAGACAATTTTTTTTTAATCAGTGAAAGAATCAAGGGTTATGAGGGAAAAAAGGCAGGACAGTGGAGAGAGATAGTAGGAACTGCAGATGCTGGAGAATCCGAGACAACAAGGTGCAGGGCTGGATGAACACAGCAGGCCAAGCAGCATCATAGGAGCAGAGAGGCTGACGTTTCGGGCCTAGACCCTTCATCAGAAAAGGACAGTGGAGATGATGATTACCAAATCAGCCACAATCTCATTGAATGGCAGAGCAGACCCAATGGGCTGAATATCCTTTTCTCCCCCCCTACGTCTTATGGTCTTATCTGCTGAGACTACACACCGAATGTTTTTGTCATTAATTAACAATGTGGCTTAGACTTTTTGGAACCTAATAGCTGACATTTGGATAGATAAGCCATAAAGATATTTCCTTATGAAAACTACTGCATGTGGTAAGATCAAATTAGCTTGATTGCAAGAGGGACAAGGCAGGTTAACAGTCAGCATTTAGATCTTTCAGGCATGATAGATAGGGATATTAAAAAAAAGTGAGGGAGTTATGTTACTGATTAGGGAGAATATGACGGCTGTACTGATGGAGGACAGCTTGCAGGCTCCTCCAGTGAGGTCATATGGGTAGAGTTCTGGAATAGGAAGAGTGCAGTCACATTAATAGGATTGTACTACAGGCCTCCCAAAAGCAACAGGTATAGAGATAGAGCACAGGTATGTGGATAGATTATGGAAAAATGTGAAAACAACAGGGTTGTTGTGCTGGGTGATTTTAACTTCCCCAAATGTTGACTGGGATTCACTTAGTGCCAGGGGCTTGGATGGGGGGACCTTGTTAGGTGTGTCAAGGACAGTTTTTTGAAGCAATACGTAAATAGTCCAACTAGGGAAAGGGCCATTATTAGACCTGGTATTGGGGAATTAGCCTGGCCAGATGATCAGAGTTTCAGTGTGGGAGGATTTCAGGAACAGTGACCATAATTCTAAGTTTTAAGTTACTTATGGATAAGATAAGTGTAGTCCTCAGGTAAAAGTACCAATGTGAGGGAAGACTAACTATGATAATGTTAGGCAGGAACTGGGAAATACAGAGTCAGGGTGGCTATTAGAGGGTAAATCCACATGTGGCTTGTGGGAATTTTTTTAAAGGCCAGTTGATTAGAGTTGAAGACCAGCATGTACCTGTGAAAATGATGGCTAAGGATGGCAAGATTCAGGAACATTGGATGACAAGAGAAGTTGTGAGCTTAGTCTGAAAGAGAAAGGAAACAAATGTAAGGTTCAGGTAACTGAAGATGGACATAGCCCTTAAAGAATACAAAGATAGCAGGAAAGAACTTAAACAAGGAGTTAGAGGAGGGCTAAAAGTGACAATGAAATGACCTTGGCAAACAGGATTAAGGAAAATTCCCAGGTCTTTTCATTAAGGAGTGGGAGGCTCGCTAGGGAAAGGGTAGATTGCAACTGAAACTGGTACAGCTTTATCCATGAATAGCCAATGGTGAAAAATAGAAATAAAATAGCCTCACAAGATTCATCTAGACAGTGGCATACTATACAAATAACATGCTTGCAGCCCACATGATTGGTGCCTCATCCAGCACCCTAAACATTTATTCCCTTCACCACCAATGAATAGTGACAGCAGTGTGCACCATTTATAAGATGCACAGCAGCAATTCACCAAGGCCCCTTCAACAGCACCTTCCAAATTCACAAGCTTCACCACCCAGAAGAAGAAGAGAAACAGCCACCATCTACAAATGCCCCCAGAAGCCACACACCATCCTGACTTGAAAACTATATTGTCGTTCCTTTACTGTCGCTGTGTCAAAATCCTGGAACTTCTTACTGAAGAGGACTGTGGGTCTGCCTACATCATACGGAGCATAGTGAGCCCAGAAAGCAACTCAGTGTCACCTTCTCAAGAGTAATTAGGGATGATAATGGTCCAGCCAGTGATGCCCACATCCCTTGAAAGATGTTTTTAAAAATCTATTGATTTGCAGCCATTGCAAAAATAAATTTAACTTTGCAAATAACTCTAATTTTAGAATAAAGGGAATGTTCTGGCCAAGTATTCCGAACCCTGGAAACAGTCATGCAATCCGGATTATAGGAAGAAATTCCTTGCTGGTATGTACCATTTTATATACCCACACCCATGTATCTGCTATCACCACTCGCCTAGTTTTTGTTACGTAAAGTCCTCAGATTCTATTCAATTTCAATGGAAATATTTCAGATTCCTTTGGGGAAAGGTGTACCACACACCACCTAATAAAAGCCTTCATCAGGCACTCTTATCATTGGTACTGTACGAAAAAGGATTCTGCCATGTGAAATAAACCTTGAAAGGCTGGTGATATTTGTAAGCTTTATGCCAAGGACAAGAAATCACATAAAAGGCACTACCTGTTGTTCTAGCTTTTTAAAACTGCCAGTCTCAGATAAATGGAACACCTACTATGCTGAGGCATATTACAGCTCAATATCAACCACACATTCATAATTGCCACAGTTGCCCAAACAATACAGTACTCTAAGATTGAAAGGACAAAGGCTGTTCTATTCGATAGTGCCTGTCAGTCAATGGATGGAAGCAGATGGTTAAGTGTTTTTAAAAGTGTCAAGGAGAAGTACTGTTACATGCAAAAAATGACACCATTCAAGGAGCACAGCAAGGAAATGGTGGTTTGTGTGCTTGTAGGCTCTGAAAGGGACCCTTCATTCAAAGAACCTCAATGTGGGAACCAACGTTGGGAAGAAGAGGGGACCTGGTATTGGGGAGGGCAAGGAAACTGCTAAGAGGCAAATCCCATCCCACCACCTCCCACCTCGCCCCCCAGCCCGGTCCCCCACGCCCCCATCCTTGCTGTCAGACCCCCATTGCAGCCCACCTCCTGCTGCCACTCACTTCTGGTTTGGGATTCTGTGGTCGTTCTAGGCCTCGGATGGGTATTAAACAGACCATAGCCACCTGCTTTTCAATAGAACTTCCACTTGTTGGCAAATCTTGGCCAGTGGGACTTCTATCCCTAGGGGAAGAGACAGAGCTGGTTTGTCAAGCTCCTGATTGATACATAATGTTGCTGGCTTCCTAAAGCAACTCTGAGCTCTCACTGGCTCTCACTTTGACAAGATTTGGCCCATTAACTGCTTCAGTCGAAAGAAAATGCCTGGCCTGCTCAGCATCTCAGAACCTTTTCTGATTTTTTTTTATTATTTCCCTACTTTATAATGTTATTCGAAACGTGGATGAATACATCAATAGAAAAATGTACATAAGCACGAAAAACATGATAATTAAGTGTTAAAAATTTCATTTTGGTACCTTCAAAAATAGTGTTTTCAGAAAACATTAATGCAGTTCTGATCTCTAGCTGTGATGGAAGAGCTTTCCATATTTCTCTGATTCATGAACACCACCACTCCGAGATTCTGGAATGCATTTTTAGCGCCGATATCTACACTCATAACATATTTCTGATCAATCACATTTGCTATGGTTTTAATCATTCCTAGTTTAAAGATCAGTTAAATTTGTGAAGGAACTTGCGTCTTCATATTTTGACAAGAGGCTCATGTAAGCCTAAGTCTGAGGTGGCATAGAAATATAAAAAATAGGAGGATTAAGCCAATCAGCCCATCAAGCCTGGTCCACCATTAATTATGATCATGGCTGATTATCAAACTCTGCAGCCTGTTCCTAATTTTCCCCCACATCCTTTAGACCCAAGTGCTATATCCAACCCCTTCTTGCAATCGTACAAATTTTGGCCTTGACTGCTTTCTGTAGTAGCAAATTCCATAGGCTGAACTCTCCCTGGATGAAGAAATTTCCCCTCATTTCAGCCCAAAATGGTTTACCCCAAAATCTTCAACTGAGACCCCTGGTTCTGGACTTCCTTGCCATCAGGTACTTCCATCCTGCATCTACCCTGTCTAGCCCTGCAAGAATTTTATAGGTTTCTGCGAGATCCCCCCTCATTCCTCTAAATTCTAGTGAATATAATTCTAACCACATGAATCTCTCCTCATGCGTCAGTCCCGCCATCCCAGGAATCAGTCTGGTAAACCTTCACAGCATTCTCTCTATAGCAAGAACATCCTTCCTCAGATAATGATACCAAAACTGCACCCAATATTCCAGGTGTGGACTCACCAATGCCCTGTATATTTGTAGGAAGACATCCCTCCTCCTGTACTCCTGTAGGTAATAAAATTTAGACCCCATAGAATTGTTCTGCTGCAGTGTTTTGACTCAGTGGGGAAACATTTGCCTTTGTCATGCCTTGTACTTTGGATTAAAAAAAAATTCAGTGCAGGTGAGACCAACTTTTTTTGTTGTGTGTTATCTCAGGCCTCATCTCCCTTGAAAGTGTGATCCCTGCTCAGATTGGAGCTACTCACTTCCACCTATCCAGAATGTGTACTTGAAACAGGCGTTAGGCACCTTGAAAATGCAAATCAGGACCCCGTCACAATAAATTACCATCCATGGCTAGAGATTACCATCTACTCTAATCCTAGCAGCAGAATAGCAAGACTGGAACTTTTGCATCTTAAGTAAACAATTAAGAAAACTACTTGTTAGCGGACAACTTGACAATTTTATAACAGCACTCAGGAAATCAGGTTAATAATTGTTTATTTCATACATACACAGGGGGAGCTAGACTTACCAACATGAAGTGTAAAACTGACTTTGATAGGTTACAAATACTTCCAAGCTTTGTACAAAACTTGACAACATACATATTACATTATGTATTGTTTTCCCACAGATTTTCCACAGATATTGTCTGTATTTCACTTGAGGCCAGTGCTATTTTGCTGATAGCACTGTGGTTCCCATTTGCTTTTATAATATGATTGAAAATTTAACCCTTAACTAACTGGAATTAATCCAACTCTTTCACTTTTGGTGTTGATATTTAAACCTTGACTTTATGCTTTGAAAATAAATTAATGTTGTCAACTGAAAAGAAATACACATACAAACCATATAATAGGCACAGAGATCTTACTTCTAAATAATCAGTACTTATCCTTTCTCTCTTCTTCATTAACTCTGAGACCACATTGCTTTCTCACCCTTCCATCTACTCAGCTTCAATATTGATACCACCTTGTCTACTTCTCCAATTCTCAACGAAAACATGGCTTGGAATTTTATTGCCACTATGAATATGCATTGCATCTTTTTCTTTTGAATTAACAGCCAGACATGGATAATGAATTATCAACTCTCAACACAAACTCACCTCTAATGGAAACAGAAGAGGATCTTGAAAGTCTTCACATTATTGAAGAGGTCACTAGCACACCCACAGATTTTGAGCTGCAAGACAATGAACAAAACAGTATAACAGATCAGGAATCTAACAGCAATCTCACTGACCAACCAGTACTTATACAGGTAACCGACTACACAACTATGGAAAACTTCCGACAGATAATGCCAACCATTGCAAGCAGTAATACTGCCATCCGGCCAAACAGATGTGAAACAGAATATAACAATCAACAGAATGGCTGTTTAATTCAGAGCTATATGAAACAACAAGTCCATCGAACGGGCATACAGACACCAGAATGTACTCGGATTGCTGGTGACTGAAGATCCAGAACTGCTTAAAAGTCTTGATCATGTTAAAGTCATTCAGAGTCTGCACTTCCAGTAACTCTTGGGAATGAATTTCCTGAACTGGAACATTTGGTTATAGTTGTGACTATTGCAGAATCTGCTCAAATAACTGATTGACAGGTTGATCCTTGAAATATGTCCAATTGAACTACATTCAACCAGTGCAATGCTCTTAAAGTGTCTGTGGGATGTATGTAGAAAAGAAAGGTTTGGGTTTGTTTTTCACTGTCTGCATTTAAGACCAGTTCTGTAATGTCACCATTCCTAAATGACATTTAATGACAGTGCAAGCGAATGATGTTTAAAGTCGTACAGAGTCTGCATTCTCAGTGACTCTTAGGAACAAATTTCCTGAACTGGGACATTCCATTATGGTCAGGCCTATGGTAGAATCTGTTCAAGTAACTGATCGAAAGGCTGGTCTTTGGTGGTCCTGAATGGTGTTCAATTTTATATGTATGTTGGTAAGGGGAAGTGCAAAGTGCTGGCAGGGCTCAGTACTTCTACTTTAGGTATGTTCTGGGGCTGTCTTTCTCTCTCTCACTCGCTCTCTCACTCTCTCCCTCTTCAAAATCTCTCTTGCTCTCTGTCTCGTTCTCGTTCTCCTTCTCTGCCTGTCAGTTGGGAGGGGAAGAAGGAAAAATGACTGATCGGGCAAAACAGCTCTGTGTACACTTCAACAGAATACGTATCATTGAGTGGTGCCAAGAGATGGGGGGTATTGGGGGAGGAAATTCACCCCCTTCCTCATTTACCTCCCTCACTCATGGTGAAGGAAGAGACATTAGATTGGATGTACTCTGGCAATACATTAACCAAGCTAGTGAACCTCAGTGATTGCAACCATCAAGCCAAAAGGCAAAAAAATAGAGTTTGGAAATCTCTGCGATCTGACCAGCCACTGCTCCTCCCTGTTAAATCATTTGTTTAGATTATTATCTCCAGATCATTTAGTTTTGTATGGGTGAGGAATTTTCCTGATGTAAAAAAGTTTTATTCCTGTTTGCCAGTGTTTTACAAGTGTCATATTAAGTGCAATTATGGCAGAATGTACGGTTTTGTTTGAATTTGAACATAAATTTTGAAATTGAAGTAGGTTCATTGTCACATCTACTCACGTGAGTACAGTGAAAAGTTTACAAGTCACCGCTTAAGGTGCCATCTTAAGTACAATGGTACCCAGGTACAGACTCTTAGGTATAAGGCATGAAAATAAGGAAAACAAAATTACAAAGTTAAACGTTACAGTCCTTCTTACTAAAAGGTAGAAAAACAAAAAAGGCATAGTTAGTACATTTGTGAATGACACCAAAATTAGTGGCATAGTAAACAGTGAAGAAGCTTTTCTAAGATTGTAAAAGGATCTTGATCAAATGCATCAATGGGCTGAAAAATGGCAGATGGAATTCAATCTGGATAAATGCGAGATATTGCATTTTGGTACAACAAACAAGGGTAGGGCTTAGACAATTAATGGAAGGGCCTTGGGTAATGTTGTAAAACAGAGGGACCAAGGGGTTCAGGTACATAATTCTTTGAAGTTTGTGTCACATATAGACAGAGATGTTGAAAAGATGTTTGGCACGCCTTCATTGTTCAGTCCTTTGAGTACAGGAGTTGGGAAATCATGTTAAGGTTGTACAGGACATTGGTGAGCTTCTTCTGCAATACTGTGTCTAGTTCTGGTCGGCCAGTTTTAGGGAGGATATTATTAAGCTGGGAGTGGGTTCAGAAGAGATTGACCAGGATGTTGCCAGGTATGGAAGGTTTGAGTTATAAAGAAAGGTTGGATAGGCTGGGACTTGTTTCACTGGAGCATAGGAGGTCGAGAGGCGACCGTATAGAAGTTTATAAAATAATAAGAGGTATAGATGGAGTTAATTAGTTATCTTTTGGGGAATTTCAAGACTAGGGATCACATTTTTGAGGTGAGAAGAGAGAGATATAAAAAAGACATGGGGTGCAAAATTTTTACACAGAGGGTGGTTCACGTGTGGAATGAACTTCCTGAGGAAGTAGTGGATGTGGGTACAATTACAACGTACATTTAAAAAACATTTGGAAAAGTACATAAATAGAAAAGGTTTGGAGGGATATGGGCCAGGTGCAGGCAGGTGTGGCTAGTTTAGTTTGGGATTATGTTCAGCCTGGACTGGTTGGACTGTCACTTTACATGCTGTATGACTCTATTTGATTGCTCTTAGATGAGATTGTGTTTGTTTTACGCAAAATGCACTCCTTGTCATTCAAAAACATTTGGGAGGGAAGAGAATAACAAAGTATGGAGATTGAGGAACGCTGACCATTATCACATAGAGGGACTCAATAGGTTGGGGATCGGTTAGTGCTGGAAAAGCTGAAAAATAGTGAGCAGCACGGGGAAAGAATGGAAGTATATGGCTAATGAAGGGGATGTACCTGATTTCCAGTGTGAATCCAGCACCGAAACCTTTCAGCTCACCTTCATCCCTTTATACAGCAAGAACAGGGCTGTACAGAGATGTAACTCTCAACAAACAACTTCCAATTGTATTTGAGTCCAATACATTTTTACAGAGGGCTTTTGCAGTAGGTCACCACACATTTGCCCAAATATTTGCTCATAAATATAATGGAGTAATACGATGTAGCTGGATCCCAAGGTAATTTTGCTCATCCCTTTGAGGACAGTGTGCTCCATCTAGTGGAAATGAACACAGAGCAGCTTTGGGAGGCAATGGGGCAGCATGGTGGCTTAGTGGTTAGCACTGCTGCCTCACAGCACGTGGGACCCAGGTTCGATCCTACCCTCAGTTTGCATGTTTGCAGTGGAGTTTGCATGTTCTCCTCATGTTTGTGTGGGTTTCCTCCCATGGTCCAAAGATGTGCAGGCTAGGTGGATTGGCCATGCTAAATTGCCCCACAGTGTCCAGGGATGTGCAGGCTAGGTGGATTAGCCATAGGAAATGCAGGGTTACAGGGGTGGGTGGGACTGGATGGAATGCTCTTCAGAGGGTCAGAATGGACCCGATGGGCTGAATGCCTGTTTCCACACTAAAGGGATTATATGACCACTGGAGATCTGTCTGAAACCAGAAAGTGTTGTTTAATGAATTCTGTGAGGTGAGGAGGAGAATGGAAAAGGGTTTGCAATGTGGTGCCCACCCTCTGACAGAAATATTGGTACATATTGATGCCAATGACATGGGCAGAAAAAGGGATGAAGTCTTGCAAGCAGGATTTAGAGAGCTAGGAAGCAGATTAAAAACAGGAACCAAAAGGTAGAAATCTCTGGATTACTTCTGGTGCCATATGCTAGTGAGTATAGAAAAAGGTGCCTAGAACAGATGAATGAGTGGCTGGAGAGATGGTGCGGGAGGGAGGGCTTTAGATTTCTGGGACATTGGGACCATTTTTGGGGGTTAGTGGAACCTGAACCTGAATTGGAATGGGACCAGCATCCTTGTGGGGAGGTTTGTAGTGCTGGTGGGGAGGGTTTAAACAAATTTGTCTGGAGTTGGGGTGCGATCCAGAGGGAAGGTTCAGCAGGGAGAAATAAGCACTCAAAATTAGAAGAGACAGCAAGAGAGTCAAGAAGGCATAGAAATGATCAGTCTTTAAAGGCTCAATAGAGTTTGTCAGGGTTGGAAAGTAATTATTTTAATGCTAGGAGCCTGACAATCAAGGCAGCTGAGTTGAATTAAAACACGAGGGTGTGATGACATTGCTGTCACTGAGATGTGGTTGAGAGAGGGACAGGAATAACAGCTCAATATTCCAGGCTCCTCAGGCGAGACAGGGAAGGTGGTAAAAGAGGAGGGGGTGGCGCAAACTGATATGGGAATCAATTACAGCAGTAATGATGGATGGCATCTTAGAAAACTCCTCAAATGAAGCCATATGGATAGAACCTAAAAACCAAAAAGGAGCAATCACATTGCTGGGAGTGTCCTACGAGCCCCCTAACAGTCATAGAGAAACAGGAGAGCAGATATGGAGGCAAATTTCAGAGAAGTCTTTAAGTAATAGGGACCTAACATGATCTGGGGTAGTCATAGTGTGAAAGCTTTAGAGGGAACAGAATTCTTAAAATGTATCCAGGAGAGCTTTTTATGCCAGTATCTCATAGGACTGGGAGGGTGGCACGGTGGGTCAGTGGTTAGCACTGCTGCCTCACAGCGCCAGGAACCCATGTTCAATTCCACCCTCGGGCGACTGTCTGTGTGGAGATCGCACATTCTCCCAGTGTCTGTGTGGGTGTCCTCTGGGTGCTCCCGTTTCCTTCCACAGTCTAAAGATGTGCAGGCTAGGTGGATTGGTCATGCTAAATTGCCCATAGTGTTCAGGGATGTGTATATTAGTGGGATGGGTTTGGGTGGGATACTCTGAGGGTTGGTGTGGACTTGTTGGGCTGTACTGTAGGGATTCTATGATCTGATCTATGAGGACTTACAAGAGAGGAGGCTGTCCTGCACTTAATTATAAGTAATGAAGCTGGGCAAGTGGTTGAAGTATCAGTGGGGGAGCATTTTGCAAACAGTGATCACAACTCTGCTACATTCAAGATTGTTATGGAAAAGCACAAGGATTGACTTGAATTCAAAGTCCTCAACTGGAGGAAGACCAATTTCAATAAGGTCAGATATGATTTGGTCAGAATAGACCTGGGAGCAGATACTTTTAGGTAAATCTGTGTCACAGCAGTGGGACATATTTAAGAAGGAAATAGGGACTATACAGGGCAAACATGTTCCAATAAAGATAAAGGGTGGGATCAAAAAATCCAGGGAACCCTGGATATTGAGGGATATACAGGATTGGATAAAGAGTAAGAGGGAGGCTTTTGGCAGATACTGAAAGCTCAAAACAGCAGAAGCCCTAGAGGAGTATAGAGTGTATAAGGGGAACCTTAAAAAGGAAACTAGGAGAGCAAAAAGGGGCATGAAAGAGTAATGGCAGGGAAAATAAAGGGTAATCCTAAGTTATTTTACAAG